TTTTTCCCTATATTTTCTTCTAGAATTCTTATGGTTTGATGCCTTACATTAGTATAATCCCTATGGAAAACAGTATGGAGATTCCTCAGAGAACTAAAAGTATACCTACCATTCGATCCAGAAATCCCACTGCTGGGTATCTACCCAAAGGAAAAGAAGTCATTTCATCAAAAAGACACCTGTACTCAAATGTTTATTGAAGCACAATTCACAATTGAAAAGATGTGGAATCAACCCAAGTGCTCACCAATTTATGAATAGATTAACAAAATGTGGTATATGTATACCATGGAGTATTACTCAGCCATTAAAAAGGATGAATTAATGCCTTTTGTAGCAATTTGGAAGGAACTGAAAACCATTATCTGAAGTGAAGTATCTCAAGAATGGAAAAAACAAACACTACATGTGTTCTCTAATAAACTGGAACTAACCAGTGGGCACACAAGTACACAGAGGAAAGTAAAAGTCATTGCAAATCAAGTGGCAGGGGGGCAACCCCACCTAACGGGTACAGTGAACACTATTAGGATGATGGGCACACTTATAGCCTTGACTCAAGCCATTTATCAAAAACATCTATACCTAAATAAACAGGTAAATGTAAATAAAGTATTTTCCTGAGTTCTGTAAGCTATTTTAGCAAATAATTGAGCCTAACAACGGGATTATGGGAATACTTGAATCTGTAGCCATGTTGGACAAAGTATGGGCAGCTTGGGGACCCAGGACTTGTGACTAGCTTCTGAAGTGAGGGCAGTCTTGTGGGATTGAGCCTAACGCTGGATAGTGTCAGAACAGAATTGAAATGAAGGACACATAGTTGATATTAGAGAAATGGAGAATCATAAGTGGTGTCAGAAAATACCCTATTTAGTATAACACATTTTACCAGTATTTGATATTTAGAATTACAAAGAAATATTAAATTCACATATTTTGGTTCTTGTATTATTTTGTATTTATATTTTCCAAGGTCTCTAGTAATAGAATCTAATTAAAATGGGTAGGTAACTTTATGCAATTCAGAATCAAAACATGACTCTTTTTCATCATGGTAAATATTAATATGTGAAGTATACACTATTACATGAAGTAATAAAACTTGGAAAGAATTCAAAAAGATATGGTAGTAAACACTAAAAAATTTTGTTTAAGTTCCTTTTCAAAATGCATGTACATAAAATGAGATTGTGTGCAACAGACCAAAGTCTACCTAGAAACCAACAGAGTCACATAAAAGTAATTTAAGGCAAACTTTATTGATTTATTTTAAATAAGGCAAGTGAAATGTGGGCTCAGAATTAAGATTTTCAAGAAGCTTCTTGTACTTGTATAATGGGTGAATATGAATATCAAAATTTTGACTGTTACTATACAAAACTGAAGGAAAATGCTTTCCAAGTTGCAGTAAAATGAACCCTAATAAAATAATACCATTAAGTCTACACAGTCATAAGTTGTTTGACGGTGTACAAATCCTACAATATTTTCTTAATGTAAATTTGGAACATTCTGAATACTTTATAAGCCTACTTTTCTGTCATTGGGAAAATAACAGAATTCCAAGGACTTTCTGCTACTTTAATTTTAAGAGATCAAAATAACAAAACAAATGTATTTTTCTAGCTTAACATAATTCATAATACAGTGGTACTAAGGACAACAAATAATTTTAATAAAACCAAATCCATTTCAGAACAGGGAAATCATATAGAGTTAAACAAAGTACAAACTACTATTAGAATAAGTTGCTTAGATTTAGTATAAGAGTACTCATTTTTATTTTCACTGGAAAAATGTTAAAGCCCTTTCTCTTTTCTGGAGCTTACACAGTGGGTCATGTTCTAGTTACTCAATGATGAATCATGTTTCTATAGCAATCTCTTTAATTTTTATACTTGCTGATGTGTTCACGGGCTATAATAACCCTTTGAATTTGTGCAGTACCTTCATAAATCTGCAAGAAAAATGTAAGTGTAGGTTAAATATCTTCAGTACATAAATATCTTGATTTATTCAATATTTTGGACAGTAGTATAAGCTGCATTGTAATACTAAATTGAATCAAGCCATCTA